CACGCCCGGTACCAATGATCCGCCCCGTACTGCGTTCCTGTATAAAAACATGGTCATCAAGAACTAAAACAGCACATTTAAGTGATTTGGCTAAGCGACTAACAGTTATGAGATTAAAAGGACTATTGGAAATATAAAGGACTGAATCTAAAGGTAAGGAAGGAAGCGGGCTTGCTTGACCTATTGCAGTTGCCATGGTTTGAGACCCATTGGCCATTGTGACTTCTGGAAGAGATTGAGATTACGAAATAGTAGTGAAAAGAGATTTGTTACCAGAAATATGATCTGATGCACCTGAATCAATGACCCAAGACTCAGAGGATGAAGATTGGGAGAAACAAGTCACGTTATTACCTGTTTGAACAACAGAAGCTATCTCAGAAGATGTCTGCTTACATGCTTTATACTGAAAGAACTCAATATACTCTGCTAAAGAAACCATCCGACTATTCAAAGCATCGGTTCCCATGTCGCTACAATTAGTAGTAGTAGGGTTAACTTGAAATAGTGAAAATAAGTAACTCCTGTGAAAAAACTGAAGAAATAGCTTGAAAAACACTGTTTACAGCAGGAAAACAGAACATTGCTCTGTGCCAGAAACACTGTTCACGCCGGAAATACTGTAGCTCGTCGGAAAATTCCAAAGTTGTCGGAATTTGTTCTAACCAGGATGGATAGACTTGGAATTACTTTACGAGCAAGCTGTCCTGAAGAAATATTTTCAAAAAATGGCCAGAAAGGTCACTGTTCACACCGGAAAAATATAAAAGTGGCCGGAATTTGATTTGAATTAGATGGGTAGGCTCGGAATTTTGAGGAGAACATACTGTCCTGAAGAAGCTTCGCGAAAAAATGGCCGGAAAGTGGCCGGAACCCTCGCCGGAAAAGTTGTTGCCGGCGCGTGGAGGAGCGTGGCGGCTTTTCTGCCGGATAAAATTTCAGGGGTTGGTAGTCGGAGGGTGATCTACCTTGTGGTGGTGTTGGTTTTAGCACAACACCTACAGAAAGTGACTTTCACTTAGACAAGCCTTAGATCACCGGAAAAATTATACGATGACTAAGTTCTTTCTTCCCGGTTAACGCTGGAAAGACGCACAGCGATCTTTTCTCACTAATGCTCTGATACTATGTGAGAAGGCACGGGAGAAAATATGTTATTGATATTGGATGATAAATACAATACAAGAGGTCCCTATTTATAGCTATACACTACAAGGAGATATTACTCATCTTCCAATGTGGGACAAGACTACACTATACATATCAATAAACTAACAATTACATATATTCTTATATGCATAACGTTCATGCAGCACTTCTCCATTTCAATTATCCTAAGTACTACATCTTTATCTATCAATTCTCTCTGGAAGACTCAGCTTAAATATCTTGCTTGGCTACATTAGGTAAAATAATCTCGTCTAATCTCACTTCATCTCCATTCTTAGGTGCTAGATTTTTTACTTCATATACTTTTTTTTTTTTAAAGTAGAAGTGTCGGACAATGAGCAAACTGTGCTCTAGAGGAGAACCAAACCTGCGAGCTTCAAGTAGTTTTGATATACTGCAGTCTGCATATACTGTGTTACTTCTATTATCTTAAAACACCTTACTTTCTAGTTCATATAGTTCTTCTCCATAATTCGAACTTCTAGCCGAATTTTTCACGAGTTCTATCAATAACACTATCATTTTTAATTATACTGCACCATGGAACCTCATGTATTCCTATTGATTATCTCATCCACAACTAGGGTAAAGAAGTGTAGATAGGGGTGATCATTCGCAGTTAGGTTAGGATTAAGAATACTTCGATTTAATTTTAAGCTTCCGGATTTAAGAAATTACAATTCAAATCAAACAAGCTCAGTTTGTTTCGGTTTTTTAGAGTTTGATTTCGGATTAATCGGTTTGGTTATTTGGATTTTAGTTTAAGACTAAGTTGGGCTGCTTCTTACCCGGAAAAAAAAAAATCCAAATAAAGTACTCATGTAAAAATTGCCTTAACAATTCCTATCTACTTCAGTCACTACTCAGCTTCAGCTATAGATTTGAGGCTTTCAGCAAAAGAGCAAAAAGCGGCAATAGTGGTGAGAGAAAAAATAAGGAGAAGTGAACTTAGATGTTTTTTCCTTTTTCCATTAAGGTAAATGATAACTAAAAATTCTCGAAAAATCCAAATAAAAAGGAACAGAAATAATAATAATAATAATAATAATAATAATAATAATAATAATAATAATAATAATAATAATAATAATAATAATAATAATAATAATAACAACAATAAAATAATAATATATATTTCACACTGTTTTTTCTAAAAATGCCCGAACACTATTCTTAGCTTCATAAATTAAACTAACAGTTGTCACCATCACCAACGAGCCAGTCAGTGAACTGGTTAATTAAAGAAAATGAGCAATCACTTAGTAATCACAGCGACTGGCCGCCCATTATTCGGATCCACTGAGAAAACCATATCAGCACTATCATGATTCTGTTATCACTTAGACCAGAAAATAAAATCTAAACTTGCCCAACCCTGGCAACTGTGTGACCAGCTATGGTCCATTGGTACATCCCTAAGACCGGTATCATTTCATCAGTCTATCCTAGTGTCAAGAATAGATTCTACCACTTCTCCACAAGCCAAGAAGAAGGATAATGAGATAACTCAGACACTAAGCAAAATACATCATCCAATCCCACCCCAAGAACAATGTGATGAAAGTGTTGGATAAACTAGGAAACTCAACAATTTCCCTACATTTTAGAAAATTGTAGCATTGGCAAGATTCACATAGTTGAGCTGAATACAGTACTGTAGATTCAGTATTCCCTTTTGTTCATTCCTTGTCCCCCGTTCTTATTTTGGACTATATATTCTTATCTTGACCACAGTGAATGACAGAGTTCATGGATGCTGAAAAGAAATAGGAACTTAGAGTTCAATCACAGGTATGATTGCCAGGACCCCTCCTGCACTTGTCATTAATCAAAACGGGAAGACTTGATTTTGGATGGTGAGGATATCTTAGAAAGTTGAGTTATCCTGAAAAAGGCAAATAAGCTCTTTGCTTTCAAATAACATATCGGTAATATCAAGAACGACATAAGCTAATTCAACCTATCGTGGTGTATTCCCTGGTATTAAAGAACAGAAAAGGTAAGGTGCAGAAAATGCAATAGGATCAATTCCTTGGAATGTCCATTTCTTTTATCCTTAACTCTCTCTCTCATGACAATTAGGAGTATCAGCACCCGGATAAGACTTCAGTTGCTGAGAAGATTATTGAGATCTCATCATTTGTAATACATAGTTGTGAGGTTTTGACTCAGTTGTACGGAGATTCAAAAGATATAAGATAGCTCAAATCTTTAGCAAAGAGAAAGAGGCACTTACATATTCTCCACCTCCAATAAAGACATCCTTAACGCTTTCTCTAATTGTCATTCTGCTCTTAGTATCAATGTCAGGTTGAGGAAGGCGTAATTTGGTCGGACGCTCACTGTCTCTAACTTCCTCAGGATCTACTGGCAAGTCAGCAGACACATAATCCCCAAGAACAGCAACAGCCCCAGTATAGCGTTCTCCCATCAGCTCGTACGGTTTTGCTGGGAAGACATAAAGATGAACTGCAGAAGCAACACCCATCTGTACTGGATGAATAAACAGAGCTGTTAAAAAACTGTCGAAGTAAATCAAGCATCACTAGATCACCGATAAAAACTTAAAGCATAACATGCATCCATAATAAAATTCTAAAAATCATAAAAGCAAATATTCAGTACACTATGAGTAATATATGCACGGCCAATTTCAGAACAATTACCTCGATGCATATGATGAAATCTTGAATACTGGATTTAAATTGCAAAGCTTCAGCTATTGGACTTCGAAACAAACCAAGGCTACAGAGAAGAGCTATAGCCACGCCTTGCCACCAAGTTAAGAAGACAATTGACTTGAACGTCAAAAACTTGTACAGCGGTTTGATGTGAGCTAATTCATTCTTTGTAATGGCATAAAATTGTACTAAACAATACAGCGCCCATGATTGACTGAAATTTAAAACCACTGCCACATATGGATACCTAAAAAAGCAGAATTGAAGCAAGAGATAGTATTAATTACATGTAGATCAGCCCAATAAGTCATAGCACAGTACTGAAAAATCTTCCAGATTACAATAGCTTGTAGGACTATCTACCACATGAATGCTATGGAAATTTTATGGCATGAAACTTGGTGTTAATAAAGGACGATATTTGCCTACTTTAGAGAAATGTACTTGGAACTTGCAACTATCGAGGCATGTCCAGTCATTATCCATAAACTAATAAGAGGCCTTTTTTTTTAAAGGTACTGATTGTATTAATAAAGAAGCGTAACAAGAGTGCTAGATCTGTACAAGAATAATAAGAGGTCTTTCTTACCCACAATTCCACTTGAAGTCTCCTTCACAATACACATCAAAAGCTTCAAGAATCACTGCTGAAATAGCGGTTAATGCTTTTATGATCATCTACAAAGAAAATTGTCTATCACGTTAATCACAAGGAAAAGATGATCACAGCTTTTTATTATATAAGATCTAAGTCAGGTAGCATGCTCACATATTGGACAATTCCAAATTTGATAACTTGGTAGACCCACTGACCAAGCTTCCATGGCTTTAAAAAGTAATTCATAGGAAAAAGATGCTTGACAACCCCCTTCTCAGAGCCATGATCTAGTAGTGGCATCTTTGGAGCTGCACGCCCTTCCCTCTCCATAAATAGTATAGCCCTCTCCTCCCCACCTAAGTCACAAAATTTAAAAGAAGGAAAAAAGCAACTTTTTAGTAATGTTCTAAAAACATACTTGTAGAATCAAACTTTCAACACAGGTTTAATCATGGTAGTCTTCAGTCAGCATTTTCAAAAATACAAGAGAACCTAGAAAGTTCATCAGCCAAGAAGACATGCCAACCCTTTATATCAAAGGGCCATGTGTTAACATGTAAGAGAGTAAAAATCAAATGATTCATTGACCTCAGTGACTCTTTGAGCTCTTATCAAAGAAGAATAGAAGAGAAAAGTACACTATCCAATGTCCTCAACTTTCTAGAAAAAGGAAATCACATATTTTTCTTTAGGCTGTAACGTATGAATTACTGTCCTGAATTTACACATTAAGGGACCATTTGGTTGGCTGCTATAGTAAAGATACATAAGTAATACAGTGTTTGGTTGGTCGCATAAGAAAAGATAATCTCAGCATAATTATTGCGACATTTTGTTGGCCGCATAAGTAAAAATGATCTCCGCATAACTAAATGCAGTGTTTGGTTAGTGGTATAAAATGTAATACATTCATAACTTCTTTTTTCTTTTCTTTTTTTAAACAACCGTGGTGTTCGGGCCAACTTCTGCTACCTCAATTATTCTGTCGTGTACCTACTATCTTCCACCAGCACATATACTAGGCAACTCTGCTCACCAAGGCTTAGGCAAATGGAAAGAAATCATCTACTATTTTTTGTCTCTGCTGGAAATTTGAACCCTTGACTCCAAGGTTTGTACCCACATCATTGACCATAAGGACACAACCTTGGGTGCTACAAACATACTTATAAGGGAATCTTCATATTATTTTGGGAACAAAATGTGGAACAAGATATAAGTATTAGCAATATGTGGATAAGAGTATCTACAGATAATAAAAATGTCCTTAAAGTGGGTAATCCCTGCATACACATGCCATGTATTATTTTTCACTACACACTGATCCTTATTATTACCCACTACATAGCAACTCCTACATTGTTATTAACAACATAAAAAGCATTGCATTATTGTCTAGACATAACTAGTATACGAACCAAACGACCCCTAAATAAAAGTTAGCAAGATCAAGTTTAAGACAAAAAACTTAACCATACCTAAGCATGCAACAAGATACCTCCCAAAGCAGTACATAGCAAAGGATTCATAGCAATCCCGCAGTATCCCAATGTGAACACTAACTGCTGGATGTACCAATGACACAAACTGTGAAAAATAAACGTAGAATTAGAAAATTGACAAAGTATAATCTAACAGAGTTCAATGACAACCAACTTGAGATTGACCGGATACTTGGAGCTGATATTCAATAAAATATATGCCTTTAGGCAATTACATCAATAACTCAGTCAATGTAACGAATTCAACTTTGTGAGAGAAGTATATTGTATAAATTTCATAACTTACAATATCTATAGTAGCATGCAATGTTAAATGTATGTCTCATTTATTCAATTCAATTGACTGCAGTCAAAAGCAAAACATATTTGCTAATGAATGTTGTTAGTTTATATATAAAGAGATGGAAGGGACCATGTAAAAGAACATGTCACCCCCGCTAAAACTCGAACATTTTCTGGAAAACTCACTTTAGATCAACTTTATAAGTGCTCGCTATCTGTAGGTTATCAATTTATTTATGACCAACATGGATATCTTTACACCGTATATATTCCTTTTCTCCTCTATCCCTAGTAAAGTTTTGACTTTTCAAATATCTAGGAAAATAATAATATTGGAAAATAGGATTTATCTTTCTTTGCCCTTACTTTTCTTTTGTTTTGGTGCTTTAATGTAATTCTCTTCAGTCAAACTAGTTTAAAAATAAAAAGATATATCCCACTTGTTTTGGCTTCAGAAGTATACGCATTATAAATATGTAAGAGAACAGCAGAAAGACGCAGTTGAACATGTAGGTTGTACATAAAAAAGAGAAAATGTGCTCAGAAATCCTTGGTAGATCACAGTTAAAACTTAACCGATGACACCATACAACAACTACAAACCCAGTGGGATCCCACAAGTGGAACCCGGAGAGGATAAAGTATACGCAGACCTTACTTCTACCTTACGAAGGTGGAGAGACTGTTTCCGGTAGACCCTCGGCTCAAGAATAGTGAAAAAGAAGCAATAAACAAATAATAGCAATGATAGGTAATAGGCAACGGAAGCAAATGGCGAAGCATGTAAGCAAGAAAAGATAAATTAAAAGACGAAGCCTTCTTCCCCTCAATGAACAACAAAAAAAGACTAGACTTGAGAAGCTATAACAAAAAATAAATTCCACTAGTAAAGAACATGGGATAGCACAACTTAAGCTGACACGTGAATGTTACTCTCTTTCTGCACTTCATTAGCAACTCTTTTAGCAATCTTTCTTTTTTTCCATTCAACAATCAAGACCTACCATATGTTCTCTATTTCTCAGATCGTTTACTCTCCAAGGGCTTTACAAAACTAGTTAAGTCAGAAGTGTGGAGAAGCGGAAGAACTCATAGAACCTTCACCACAAAAAAAAGGGAGTGATCATGTCCAACTTACGCAAAAAAATCAAAACTTTATCTACACCCAAATTGATATAAACCACTATAGCTAACAAAGAATATATATTTTTAACTTACCGATTCAACTGCATAACAAGGCACCATCAAAATCACACCAATCAAAAACTTTTGTTCCTGCCAACACAAAATGAAAACACTATCTTATTAGAAAAACCGAAAATGATAAAAACAAACAGAATTAAGAGAAATAATTGTACCTCAGGGTTTTTGTAAGCAGAGAGATGTTCAAATAGGAGGTACATAGAAAGTGTGAGAGAAACAACAACGAAAACTCCAGCAAGTAGTGTTGCCCATACAGGAGGTGAGTAATTACTGAAAAGGCCATGAATGACCTGATTCAAATGCTCCGATGATGATGATATTGATATTATCCCTTGCATCAGCTACGATTTTTAGGGTTCCGATGATCGGAGCTCATATGATTTTTTTTCTCCGGTTGAATTTTGGTAAATGTTAAAATAAATATTTTCAAAAAAAATTGGAAGTTGAATTTTGAATGAATGATTGGTAGGATTCGTTGAAGCTCCTTCCTGATTATTTTTTATTTTTTTCTTTTTCTCAAAGTCGAGTTCTGTCGAAGCTTTTGTACTATTTATGATTTGGTCCCTTGAAGTTTTGGGTTTGTTTTTCTGTCGTCATTATAAGTGAACAGAAGCGGTCTTTTATTTGGAATTTCCGAGATTAGAAGGGCCCAACAGTAATTGAAAATGATAGAGGAAGGGTGTTCCAGAAAAATGAAAATATAGTCGAAAATTGAATCAAATCTATTTAAAAAATTTATATGAATTTGATTTGCTATTAAATAAGGAAAAATTATATCAAATCAACATATAAATATGCTTATCTTTTATATAAGAATTAAAATTTGAGACAACTTTTTCTTGACCTGCTAAAATCATCCTTTTGTTTGAAATGTAATATCTAGTATAACTATTATAGATGATTGAGTCTTATTTATTTAAGAAGTTGATTCTAATTTGTATTATAAACTTTTTATCAAGGTATTATTTAGCTATTTCAATCCTTGTTTTTTTATTTTTACAAGTCAATATTTATTGAGCTCTTATATTTTTTTCTATTTTGAATATTGCTTTATTGTAAACTCCTCCAATAAACAAAGCATATCAGATTTTAAAAATATAAAAGAAGTCTTACAAGACGATTGTTTTGTTTTATGAGAGATTGGATTTAATTTTGAAAAATTAACTTTGAGATTGTAAATTATTTTTTAAGTAATAGGTTTAAAAGTAATGTTAAAATTAAGACCTGCTCTGCATTTAAAAGTAACTTAAAGTTGTCTTTACTTTGAGTACTAATAAAATTTTATTTAAAAATAAATATAAATTAAATGAGAGCGACCAAATTGGGTGTCTCATAATTTTTTTTAAACCGATGATAAATGTTAAGTCATGGATTTAGTTCTCCTTGTATATAGGGAAACTTGTAGCTCATAACATAGGTCAATGAAATTGGAGAAAACCTAGGAGGCCATGGTTCAAAACTTCAAATTCCAGCAAAGACTATGCTATAGGTGATTTCTTTACCAAGTCACGTGCGGTGCATATGCGAGCGACAAAGCGCGGGTATACTAAAAAGAAACAAAGAAGCAGAGAAGCCAAAGGCAGATCTACAGCTACAAAATAAATTCTTTGATCTGCGGTTTTGTTTGGGAATAAGAATAATGGGAAAGGTGGAATCAAACGAAGACGCCTCAAATCAGAAGAAGAGGGTGAAGAGAAACCATGGATCCACTAAATTCTTTGTGTTTTTAGATTATGTATTCCTCTTTGTATTCTTTTGTTTCCTCTGCTACATTCTCTTCAAAATGGTCGGGATTTGATCTATCCAGGTAATTCTTGCAACCACTTTTTGATATATGTTTCAACTGTCTATTTCTTTAGCTTCCCATTTCGTTTTCCGTATTATTTGACTCAATTGTTGCATCTGAGCTTAAATATTTGTATTTGTGATAATTGTGAATGTTGGGATCCGAAAAATGGGAGATTTAAGATGCCTAAACCATTTAGAAGATAAAAGGCTCAAATTTTAAAACTGTTTACTCGGTTTCTTGGTGAAAAACTTTGTATAGAAACCTGAGATATATAGGACATATTGGTTACTATTAATTTGAGAAAGCGAGCTTAAATTGTGCCTCATGAACAGTGATGATTCATATACCCAGACCCTAAATTGCTTGGGATTGAGGCGTAGTTGTTTGATTTGAGATAGTGGATATCTCTCTCTTAAAGTATTTCACAAACTCTATGACGAATGGGTTTCAAGTCACCTGCATCAATTGGGAAGTTCATTTCATAGGGGTTTTTGAATGTGTTATTCCCGCCAATATTGCTGTATTTGTAAATAATAATTCTGCAAAATATAAGTTAACGTAATGAAACAGTAATTAATTCGAGCCCACTGAATTCACAGTGTTTCCTTAAGGAATTTAATCCCCTCCTAGTACCCAAGGTTATGGATTATTTCCTCCTAGGATAGAACGAATCACACACTGGTGTAGCGGTACTTCAAACCCCAGTGTTTCAGCGAACACAAAGTTCGGTAGCAAATCACACTTACAGTTGCTTTGTTTGAAGTTAAAACAATGCAGAACAAAGGAGTAGAAACTCAGAAAATCGTATGGAAATGCTGAGAGGAAGGAGTGCAATGTATAGCCAAATATGTTGAGCGATTTCAGGATTTCAGTTTGTGTGCTGTGTGTTGAGTGTTTTTCTTCAACAGTTGCTGCACATATATATAGCAGCCAGTGTTGAAGAAGACCAATCGTCCACCCTCCATGGTGGAGCAAGCATTAGCTTGTTTGTGGAGCAAGCACATTCATGTTTGTAAGAGCATTAGGCGGCTACCAAATGGTCAATACACGGATTGGAAAATATCCGTTACAAATGCGGATAATCTTACGTTAATATTTACTATTAACAAATAAATTTGGTCCAAAAAATTAATCAATCAATGACCAAATCCGAATCCGAAGCCGAAGCCGAAGCCGAGCCGAGCGAGCGACGACGACGACGGCGCGAGGCTTGCTTTCTTCTTAACTCTTTAAGAGTTACAAGAAGAGCAATTATATATATACCCACCAAAAATCTTTTCCTCTTCCAATATGGGACAATGTCTCATTGTCAAGAGGGGGAAACTTAAAATTTTACTCAAAATTTCATTTTCCCTCCATTTCCCATTCACCCTCATTTTAAGACTATTTCATCTTAAAAACAAAAAACTCAACAGAATGACCCCAAGTACTGTAAGCTAGTGAAGATATCTTTGATTAGCCGAGTGTTTGGTTAATTTGGAGTTTGTTTAGTGAATTGTACAATGGAGAAATTTGAGACATCGGCTGCAATTGGATTGGTCCCCAAAGCTAAACCATATCCTTGCCAACAGTTCCGGTGTTGAGAACAATTTTTGGCTCGGGTTCTTTTGAAGAAAGAAATTGTGGTTTGGAATAGTATCTCGATTGCTAATTTGAAAAAGAAAAATCTCTAGTTTATTGGTACTTTAATGGTGGCTGTTTAGCAGTCCGTGAATACAAAGGGCCTTGTAGCAGGAGTAGTATCTTCTCTAATTTCGGTACGTGGCTTCTATATCTAATTTCGTCTTTTCTTGTGATGGTAAACATAGGAGGATCCAGCATTTAAGCTTGAAGCCATTTAATAAGATACGAGTTTGCTTTTCCAGCTATTGCATGTATTTTGGAAAACCAGTAGGAAGTACCTATATGTGTGTATATCGGTGCTGGAAACGGGCTCCTTTAGAGTTAGTTGAAAGAGAAAATCTGTTGCTAAGAAAATTAAAGTTTTCTAGGAAAAAGGGTAGATAAAGTAATGTTGTTGAGTGCATTGATCTAAGAGTGGAAAACTGGCTGGAACTTTTCATCCCAATCTGGATCGTTTGTACTATGAGCAGCCCTGTATTCTCTGAACTTAAGTTTGATGTCTTTTGTTCCTCAACCAATCTGGATCTTATTAGGTGATGTGCTATTTATGAGACCCATTGATTGCAAACTGAATTATGGACCTGGATGTTCTTGAGGTTGTTCATTAGTATAACACTGAAGCTTTTTGCCCAAGTTATCAGCTAGCTCATTTTCATAGTTATCGTTGTTGTTATTCAAAGCTCTAGTTAATCTTTCCAACTATTCTAATATGCGAAAAACTAAAGATAGATGTGCAGATTTTCATTGCTTTTAAGCTTGAAAATGAAACATCATAAGGGAAAAGGATAATGAAGAAGAAGAAGAAGACGACATTTGAGGATTGCTTTGCTATTTGAGGTTCTTATGTGCAAGCATGGCTCGCACATTCGTCTTGATACTTTGGCAACCGCAAAGATGTCCTTTCTTTGAGTTTTTCTTGAATCTCCAATTCCCAGAACACATGCTCTTAGAAAAGTTGGGACCCTATAAAAGTTGAAATACATGAAGTGTGCATGCTACCATTGAAGGATAAATGGGTGTCCATTAGTATCGTCTATCAAAATATTTATGTCGAATCACTAATGTATATAGAAAAACACGTGCATGAGAGCCTGCAATTATCCAATTTCCTGAACCATTCCTTTGATCATTACATTTGTCTTGATTTTCAGGTTTAATGATAAGCTATATCCAGATCAATAGAGTCCAAGTTCTTATGAAATGCAAAACTGCTGGTTTATTCCAGTTTAGAGATTCTTTCCTTCTTATTTTGGACACTGAGATATGGAGAGGAATGAAGTTGTTGCACTGGTGTTCTGTGTCAAATTCACCTATGCCACGCGAGTTACTTGTTTAATATACTTAAAATATATGACATTGAGTAGCTTTCTTGGTGTGCCTGATCACACAATTTACATGTTGATATGGCGCTGAAAATATTCGGATGCTCAATTGATAACTTCTAGGATCTCCTTCACTATTCCGAAATTATTTTTATTCTTTTTAACTTGGGCACAAGCGAAATATACCATATTGATGGGGACTCGAAATCATCATTTCAGTTTGATATTATTTCCAATAAGTATATCAGCCAAGGCAAAGGTTTAAATAATGATCTTTTGGTAAGTATGACTTATTTGTTCGACGTTGATAAAGCCTGCAGATGGCTTCTGTTAGTGTAAAAGTAGTTGGAAATTTGAATACTGTAGACTGTAGTTGCTTTCTCCTTTTCCTGTGTTGATATAAGAGAAGGGGACACGATTATCTCTAGTGCTTTAATAGAAGCATCGTCAGCTAAGTAGTGTCTAATATTTGAATTGACTGCATTTCCATGATTCCATCTCATCGTTATTGCTCTATAGGCTACACTATCACAAGTTTCAAATTAGGCTACTTTATCTTCTTAAATGCAATAAAGAATTTGGTTTCTCAAGTACTCATTCGGAGTTTTGTTTGTTGTCCTCCTAACCATTAACCAATGACCATAACATCTTTAGGGTTACCTACAAAATGCAGCATTAAAATGAGGTATGGTTCTGCTGTGTGTACTTTGTCAGTTCTTACAACTGTGGTCACTATCCCTTCTTCCTATAATTTTCTGAGCTAAGTCAGGCGCAAAATCCAGCCACCTAATTAAACAATTTCCGGCATTTCAATAGTGAGCATTGTGCACATACTACTCTCCACAAACCCTACTTGTGGAATTACACTAGGTTTTATTGTTGTTATTGTTGTTGCAGTGGTGACGTTCCAATTGCGACATAATTAGAGTGGTTTCTCTCATGGGCAAATAACCATTTGAGCATGAAAAATAAAAAATAAAAACACTGAGGATATTGAAAGATTTATTCAGTGAAGAATACATCTTATATATGGTGAGGGTAACTTGAACATTGAAAAAATTGTGAGATATTGACAGAGACATAAGATGGCATATATTCGTGTAGAAAAGTGGTTGGGAGGAGGTAATGTTTCAACTTGTGGTTGACATGACCTTATTCAAAGAGCATTATTTTCGGGACCATCAATGGTTAGTCTATTTTACACACTCGACTATACATCGAGTAGGCAAAACTAATGTAATATAGCCATATACCTCTCCTTATTTCCCCTTTTCTCCTGAGGCATTGAGTGGCTGTTTTTGTTTTTTTGGTTAAATTCCAGCATACTTCTAGTGAAATTTGAGTAATATATATCTCTCATTTTTGCATAGAACAGCTTTTCAGTGAACTTTGTCTCTTAATTACTCATGCCAATCATCCATCTAATTAAACTGTACTGGAACCAGATGAATGTTATCACTTAAAATTATTGTATTTGTAATCACCTTATAAGTGACGGTATAATTATTATTTTTATACATAGAACTAAACTCTTCCTCCTTAGGGTCTAAAATAATTGTGCCAGCCGCTGGGGCACTAAATGAGGAGTGATTCTAGTTCTGGAATTGTATTTTGTTGGATGCCTTACAATATTTAACTCTGTTCTTCCAACTGCAATAGTATTAAGTAATAATTTATGGTCATATAATTAAGACAGATAACAGTGACATTTATTGGAGAAACACTAGAAAGTCATACTCCTCTTAAACCTAACACCCAAGATTAGAGATAGATAACCAAACAATATTTCAAAAACACAACCCCCCCGACACTACATTTGCATACTTATTTCATGAACGATAAATGACGGAATCAAAACTAAAGAAACTCAATGACGAGATGGTGGTAGGGGGATGCTTCCACCACCTGGAATTTCAGTGCCAGTTCCTGGGTTGGGAATAATGAAACCAGTGCCAGTATTGGTACCAGTGATAGGATTGTAAGTGAAAGGGTTGAAATGAGAGCCTTTAGGAGGGACAACAACACGGCCAAATCCTGGAATTAGAACAGTGCCATCGTACTCTATGTAAGAGTCTGGTTGTTTTTTGTCACTGATTTTAGTGCTCTTGTAATTTGGGATGTCACGCCCCCCAAGTGCATGCCCTGAGAAAGAGAGTAAAATAATATTGAGGATAATTAAGATGAAGGAAAATATGGAATAGTGTCCATAGTTGGCCATTGTTGAGGAATTTTTAGGTAGATACAAGATTCAAAGATTTATCAACAAAACAATGAAAGTTTTTGGGAGGGAAACTGTTGCTTAATTGCTGATGGAGTAAGATTGTGAACAAGACCGTTTTATAGGAGAAGTATGTGGCAAAGCTGGGTGGATTTTTGGCGGTGCATTATTAGGCCAGAGATTCTTGTTTCAAGTGGTGCATGCATGCATAATATGAGTACTACTCCTGTAGGAGAATAATAAATATTATGTTTTGAATAAATAACTTTAAAACTATAATGAATTAAATGATAAAATCATAAGATTGAACACATCTAAGTTAAAATCCTGCAACCACCTCTTCGATCGAGAGAAGCCAATAGTCCCCGAAGCCCACAAATGTGCCTTAAAGTCCCAACTGCTTTTTCAGTCAGCAAATATTGCACCGTATCTGTTTGTTACCGTCATTTGTATATTTATTGCACGTTAATATATCTGTGAGATCTACTACCAATCTACCATGGAAATTTCGTGGCGTTCTTTATTCTTTTGTTTTAAGCAGGGCAGGCTGAAGTGCCACGCAGGTAAGACATATGCCTTAGGCCCCCAATTTTGAGGGACCCCAAATTTAAAAGGAATATGTTATATGTTAGTAATTTTTTTCTTAAAAAAATTTATGTATTTTATAGTAAAACTTTTATCATCGTGGAGTTGATATGATTGTTGAGCGATGAAAAAGTCCTCCCGAGTAAAGTAAACATATCTTTAGGATATAATCTTTATTTTGCATTTTTTACATTCTGACCATTAAAGCATAATAGTCACTCTAATATTGATGTCTTAGACTTATATTTCGAATTAAAAGCGTTAAAAAAAGTATTACAAGTAGCAGATAATACTCTCATCGATATACTTAATTATATAAAAAACTTGATTCTTTTGCAAATGCCTAACAGTCGCCTCAACGGAAAGAAATTTTTCAAAATAAAAATAGATAAAATCTTATATAAGATCAATAACGTCTCAACAATGATTAAATCAGTTAGCTATATTATCGATTAAAAAATAATTACTAAAAAAATTGATTATAAAAATTTGGGCCTCTAATTTAAAGCTGACAGGCCAAAAGTATGTTGAGCCGACCCCGATGGTTTGGTCTATAGATTTAAAAATCTGATACAATTGGTTTAGTTTGGTAATTGCAAAATTCGAACCAACCCGATCTATGTACACCCCTACTTAACCTATCATATTCCAGTCTCGATTAATCACACAAGGGGCGAGCCCGGTTTTGACCGTATACAATTTTAATTATCAAATCTAATTTATTTTGTAATTTCTTGTCAGTATTTGCAAATTAAATGGAATTTGTTTCTGCCTCAACGTAGTTATTAGTTGCTCATTTTCACTGTTATTTTATGATTTATCTACTGTCGATTTCAGTTAAATTAAATTTGTTCTTCATTCGAGTTGAATTGTTTTTTTAAATTTCGTTAGCATAAGAATTCTTTATCTAGCTTCATCGAATACTGAGAACAGTAATTTGAGAAGTTATCAAGCGCATGAATCTAATTGCACTGATATTTGTTTATTGTTAATGGTAGTGCTCTCCTTGTTCTTGAAACAAAATGAACATATATTTGGAATATATAGTCAGAAACGCCGTTATATAAATTCCTTTATCATTTTTCTGTTAATGGGATCGGATTACATTATATATTATATTCCTTTATCATTTTTTTATTACATAGTAAATTTATTTCAGTACAGTTCTTACTAGACATGAAATTTGTTGAGGTTTTGTATTTAAGATGAAATATTCTTAAAATGAGGGTGAATGGGAAATGGAGGAAAAATGAAATTTTGAGTAAAATTTTNTTTTAAGTTTCCCCCTCTTAACAATGAGACATTGTCCCATATTGGAAGAGGAAGACATTTTTGGTGGATATATATATAATTGCTCTTCTTGTAGCTCTTAAAGAGTTAAGAAGAAAGCAAGCCTCGCGCCGTCGTCGTCGTCGCTCGGCTACGGCTTCGGATTTTGGATTCGGATTTTGGACCAAATTTATTTGTTAATAGTAAATATTAACGTAAGATTATCCGCATTTATAACGGATATTTTCCAACCCGTGTATTGACTATTTGGCAGCCGCCTAATGCTCTTCCCACCATGAATGTGCTTGCTCCACCATGGAGGGTGGACGTTTGGTCTTCTTCAACATTTTGCTGCTATATATATGTGCAGCAGATGTTGAAGAAAGACACTAAACACTGGGGTTTGAAGTACCGCTACACCAGTGTGTTATTCGTTCTATCCTGGGAGGAAATAATCCATTACCTTGGGTNGTACTAGGAGGGGATTAAATTCCTTAAGGAAACACTGTGAATTCAGTGGGCTCGAATTTATTATTGTTTATAACTTTAACTTATATTTTACAGAATTATTATTTACAAAAACAGCAATATTGGCGGGAATAACAATCTTAAGGAATTTAATATTTATTTCTGTATTTGTGTT